CCCCCCCATCACAACCCTCCCCCAAAACCCTTCATAAACCCCCAGACTCCCCCCTTACACCTCTCCCAGGCCCCTCAGCACCCTCCGGCCCCCTTCTACAGACCCCCACCCCCCACCTTGTTGCCCTCCCTCCATTGCCCCCACCTCGGTGCCGATGAAGGTGGGCCGGATGTACAGACTGGCAGCCTCAGAGTGCGGCACCCAGTCCTGCTCCAGCCTCACCAAGGCACGAATGCACTCCAGCAGCTCCACGGGGTCAAAGGGCTGCAGACAGAGGAACAGGGGGACAGTGGGGGGCTGTTGACCCCCTAGGGAAACAGGGGACAATGGGGACATCGGGGCCACTCACGGGCAGGCAGACCCTCTGGGCTGAGCGCCCCATCCGTGCCATGTTCAATTCGGGGCGAAAAAGGCGGATTTTGTCGTCGGCTCCGCGGAAAGCCTTCATGCCTTCAAAGAGCTGGGGGGAGTCAGGAAGAAATGGGAGCACTGGGAACGGGGTTATGGGCCACTGAGGGCACGTTGTGGTTCTGGGGGGTACTGGGGTCATTTCGGGGCTGTTCTGCAGGCCTTTTGGTGTGCTTTTTTGGGGGAGGGGGGTAATTTCAGGCCATTTTGGGGCTCACCTCCACAGCGTAGTGAAGCGCAGAGGATGCAGGGTGGAGGCACAGGTCCTGGAAGGGGCGAATGTGGGGGGGTCCCCAACCGTCTGCCCGGCTCCATTCAATGGTCAGCATGTGGTCAGTGAAGTTGTGCCCGAATTTCAGGTGCTCCGGGGAGGGTTTGGGTTTGGGGTGGGGGCTTTGCTCCACACGCAGCTCTGCTGCCTGTGCTCCGCCCCACCAAAAAAAACACAGGGATATGATGGAGGAGAGGGGGCCCAATGGTCCCTTATCCCCATATGGGGGTTCTCATACCCAAAGGTGACGGGAAAACTCCAAAGGGACCCCAGTATTGAGTGATCCTGTAATGAGGACCCCGATAGAGACCCCAAAGGGACCCCAACAAGGACTCGAGAGGGATTTGTTAATGGGGAGGGGGGAGTCTCAACAGGGAGTCCCGTAATATGGACCCCAAAAGGACGCTGGTCCTGGGAGACCCTAAAGGGACATGATGATGAGGGACCCCAAAGGGACTCGGTAATGTGGCAGCTCCATGAGGAGCCTGGCAACAGGGAACCCATTGGGGATCCAAAAGAGAATGGGTAATGGGGGACCCCAAAAGGACCCGGTAACGGGAAACCCCAATAGGAACCCCAGAGGGTAATGGGGAATGCCAAAGAGGGACCTCAAAAGAACTCCAGTATGGGGGCAGCCCCGTAGGGGTCCCAAAAGGGGGCAATGGCACTGGGGACACCCATCACCCAACCCCCCCCCCCCCCACCCCAGACCTCCTTACCCTAAAGATGCTGCTGTAAGGTCGTCGGGCAGCCAGCAGTGCTGAGAGAACCTGGCAGTGGGGAGCATAGGGTGGCCCCACCATAGCCACAGAATCACTCCAGGACCCACAACCCCAACATGGAATCCCCTCCAGGAGACCCCATAAAGCCCCCCAAGTGCCCCCGCCAGCCTCAGAGGGGGGTCTGAAGTGGGGAGGAGCTTCTTTTTCGGGGGATTCCCATACCCACGCTCCCACAGGAGGGTTCCCATGTCCACATACCAGGGCATCTGGGTGGGGTGGGGTGGGAGTGGAGCGTGGCCGGGCAGTGGGCGGAGCCTGTGCTCAAAGGCCACGCCCTCAAGGAGGCGGGGCGTCCACCTCGGTGCTGGAGGGGGCGGGGCCTGCAGGTGGAAAGGGGCGGGGCTACGGATAGCCCACCGTGCGGGGACTGGGGGACAGAAAAGGGAGCGCTGTCGGGCCCGATGGCGGGAAGGACCCGCGGCCATCACTCACCATCCCGCCGCCCCCGCACCGGCTCAGCACCGCCGCCGCCATCTCTCCGCTTCGCCGCGCCTTCCTCAGCCAATGGGAGCGCGCCGCACCGCCCCTCCCCTTCGATCCTGCAATGGGAGCCATCCGCACCGCACCGCCCCTTCGATCCGCCAATGGGAGCGCACCGTCCCGCCTCGCCCCTTCGATCCGCCAATGGGAGCGCGCTGTGAGGCACCGCTCCCCAGCCAAGAGGAAGCCGCCGTCCCGGCTCGCCCCCACGAGGACACGCCCCGCTCCTTTTAACGCCGCGGGGAAACCCCACCGCTGCCGTTGCCTGGTTACGCCGAGTGTGACGTCACCGCTGCCCTTATATGGTGCGGCAGGACCAAGGAGGTCCCTGCAGGGGCTGCCCGCTGGGCGCCCCGTTTCACAGAGCTCCTATCGCGGCTCGCGCCCTCTGGGGGCTCCACTGGGGGGTCCCAGAGCCACCCTGGGAGAACAGCATCAGCCCAACATCACCGCTGTGTCACCCCAGCCACGTCAACCACAGCAATGCCCCAGCATCTCACCCCATTGTCACCCTGATGTCACCGCAGTGCACCCAGCCCAGCAGCTCTCCCTCTTGGTGTCACACTCACTGTGACACCCCAACATCACTTCTCAACGTCAGCATCACCCCAGCTTTGCTCCTTAATATCAATGCCAGCAATAGCCCAACTTCACCCCCCAATGTCACCTCAGTGCCATCCCCTGCTGTCACTGCAAAGTGGCACCCAATGTCATTCCCCACAATCACTCCTTGTGTCAGCCCAACGTCACCTCCCAACAGTGGATGTCACCCCAAATAAAACCAGTTTCAGCGTCTGCATTTCATTGCTTTCAACCAAATTGGCTTTAGCCTTGAAATCATTTTGCATCAACCAAATTGGCTTTGCATTCAATTTATTCCAATCAAATTGGCTTTAATTTTATATTCAATTAACTTCAACCAAATTAGCTTTAAGTTTACATTGGTTGTGCAAAATAAGTGATACTTAAGGGGAAAAACAGGGATTTCTATGAAAATAAGCGATATTTCAGGGGAAAAACAGGGATTTCTGTGAAAATAAGCGATATTTAAGGTTAAAAACAGTGATTTCTATGAAAATAAGCGATATTTCAGGTTAAAAACAGGGATTTCTATGAAAATCTGCGATATTTAAGGTTCAAAACAGTATTTCAGCATCACCTCAACATCTCCACTGTGATCACGTCCATCCCTGTGACGCTCTCTGATGTCAACTCCAAGTGTTTTTCCAACATCTCTCCGGTGTGAACTCAACAATTTCATCCCCATCACCCCTGTGTCACTCCATCAACATTAATCCAGCGTCACTCCCTGACATCCGCCCCAATGATAGCCCAACATCACCCACCAACATCACTGACACATCATAGAGTATCGCCTCCCAGCATCTCCCCGGTAACGTCCCCCCCCCAACAACATCACTTCTTTATCTCATACCTCAACATCAGCCTACAGCATGACTGCACAACATCGACCCAGCATCACTCCAGTGTCACAGCAGTGCACCCCCACCAGTGTCACCCCAACGTCACTCCCTGATGCCATCCTTGAGTGAAACCCCGACATCATCCTAGTCTCATTGCAATGTAACCTCTCAGCTTTACTCTAACAACATCACCCCGCAAAAACCCCCCGACATCACCCTTACCATTAATTACCCACTGTAATGCTGCAGCATGATGGAAAATACAACAATCGCAGAGAAGCAAAGTCCCAGGCTGTAGTAAGTGAGGATGTGCTCAAACACAGCAGCCGTAAACACAGAAACAGAACAAAAACCTGCTTACCTTTGGAAGACCTCCTGCAAGCACAGACCTCTAGCCAAAGCCCCTCACTTCTGATGCCAATGCTTAAAT